TAAACCTTCCAGACGCTCACCGCTTCAGTCAGCGTTCTATCTTTTAGACTTCATGTTGCTCTTCCAGATATATAATATAAACAAACAATTTCTGTCTGCGATTCCTTTTTGTTTCCATGTCTCATGGTCAAAGTTTAATCTAGTGATCGTTAAAGAAAAATAACATGTGGGGTTATTCGGTCCTATATTTTGATATGATGGTTTTTTCATGGTTCACCCCATGCCCTTCTGCTGGTCAAGGATGATTATTCAAGTTCAGGAGGCTGAGTTCATATGTGAACTATGAAACGCGACAGCGACGGCACCATGCATAGAACATGTCACCTCTACACTGTCACGCGCGTGAAGAAAACACATTGTGTGACTGTGACATTCTGTAAGTGACTATTGAAGCGTGATATCGTGCCGGCCCCGGCCTAGCCTACTCCTAGGCGGAGCGGCCTCTGGGATACCAAAACTTGGTGGTTGCTTGCGGGAGTCCTTACCACGCTTCGCTGGGTAGATCTTCCTCGTACCATCGCAGACGGTTTTCCATGGGCGAATTTTGCGTTTCTTTCAGCGGTCATGTTCCTAAGCATTTGGAAACGGGCGCGGCGGTTTTATTTGGATAGTTTTTTGTGCCGCGTTTGGTCGTGGTCTCTCTATAGTTCCTCCAGTGGAAGTGGAAATCTGGCTCCTTGTAGAAGAAGTAAGTGTCCAGGAGGCCATTTTCCATGTCCATGATCATTTCAGGGTTTCTAAGTAAGGCTTGTGTGCCAGAAAATGACAACCAACTGGACCACAAGGCAAAAACAAAACGGCCGCAGGGCAAACAATCATGAGACAAGTGCATCATAATCGAGAAGGGAGTAAATAATGAAAGAGTTCTGTTCATATGATGCGCTTGGGTTGTTCGTTAAGGTGAAACAAAACACAACAACCAGTAACCAGTAGAGCAGAAAACAAACAACAAGAGTAGGAAAAGTATAAGCAGCCAGAAGTGCAGGAATAAAGCAACCAAGACAAACCAACGGCAACAAAGGCCATAGACAGCAAAAGAAGCAATAAACCACAAGAGGATTCTGGTTCGGCATGAGGTCTTCAACAGACAGAGCGTAAACAATAACTTGCTCAGGCTACTACATCGCGACATATTTCTCAGCACACCAATGCATTGCGCACTGTCAATGTGTATATCAGCTAGCATTGTTGCCGCGTTTTCCAGCAGTACTTTCAACGGCTCGACATCTACTTGAATTTTGTCGCGCAAATTTCGCAAGCAATATCGGTCTCGAAGGTAAGAAACCACAAGCAAAGTTGCAGCGCAAAGTCCAATGTCATCTCTGCCAACTTATCACACCGGGCAAACGCGACTGCGCGCGATAAGCATAAGACTGCGTCGTCCTGCAAGTGACACACGCCTTCAAATGCATTGGGCCCGAACAAGAATCAAACAACCTTTGGCTCCGAACCATGCCAACATCCGAGCGGCCAGGCGCTTGCTTTCCACCTTTCGCTTCCAATTTTCGGCAAGCGAAACCCGAGGGCTTATTCTTAACATATTGCACATCTACACAAGCCATATTATCTATATACAGCTTTCTTCTCGACTTAAGCCGTTCTTATTCTCACCACACACTATTTCGTGCTGGATGGATGTTGCATTTCTGTCAATAGTTTCTAAGATCGCACTGTGGGCGATGGCTTGTCAGTCTTTTTCATTGATGAAACACCACCACCACCACATACCACCATCACAGATCAAGTCAAGTTGCTACCACCAGCATGTCCAAAGTACTGCGCCTGCCACAAAATCTGTACATCGACGTCAAACTGCTCCGATCTCCTGCGCCTGCCACGAAAAGTCGACTTTAGACCACCAAAGCACGAGGTTTACCTGGCCCCAGAACGAGAGCGCACCTCCGTCAAGCACCGTCCCGCGGCCAGCGTTCCTCTCCAGGCTGGAACCAGTTTGCTTTCCAGTGCCTCAACAGTCGCGTGAGACGGTCTTCATTCGCAAAGCTGAATGCGCACTCAAATGTAGCGTCCCAACAATCGACGATCCAGCAGGTCATAGCAGGTCTTGCTTTTTCTCTGTTGATCCTTGTCAGCAGCAGCATAGACTGGATCACCCGCATCCCTTCGCAGGCACTCTCGGGAATTAGGAAAGGAATATTTAGACCAACATCACCAACGACAATCAAATAGTATAAGGTCAAAGAATAGAATAACAACACAAACAAGGATTAAAACCTACCGCACCCAAGGCGACTCCTGCGTGACTGAATGTACATTGTGTTGCATCACGCCATCTGGCAACTTTGCTCTCTTGCCTTGCCGCTTGCCTTGCTTGTTCTTGGCGGCGTTGTATGGAAGCTCGTTTCTAGCTTGCCTTAGGTTCAATATTTGCAGCGTTGACGTAGTTTGATCACCCCTGGGTGTGTCTCGCTGCGAATTTGAAATGCAGGCACGCCGCCTGCCCAGGAATGCCACAAGTTGCCCCTCACTGCCACCACAGACCGAATGATTCGCAACGATTCGCTTGTCACAGTCACGTAATCTTATTTTGCTTGATCTTGCTTGCGTACGCATTGCTGCGTCTTCCGTGAGCAACAGCACGCAATTTTGGAACCCGGTTCGTTGGAGACACCCTTTCATGTAAGGCCTCGCCAGCAATGCTTTCCGCTTCCACGCGCAACTTTTTGCCCGCCATGCCCAACCTCGCCCCATCAACGCACATGCTTGCTTTTCACGACGAGACTGTAAGCTGGCCGCGTAATTCTTTCAGGAGCTCCATGCTCCTGCGTTGGGCTAACTAGATGGTCACGCTTCATTGTGCAATGCTGACAGTATTGCTGCATTTGTTCGCTTGCGTAGGCGCGCTGACATGGCCTCATAAGAAGGACCATAAAATATAGAACCATATTTTTAAACTAAAATGTGTCCAAGCACATGCAACAAATATGTGTCAAAAAAAGATCCCGGCAAGAGACCCCAAACAGTGTGTGTGAGGTCTAGAGGTGTAGCAGTAGAAAGTCTAGAGATCTAGACGCATTGGGGTCCAAAGAGGTGATGGTGGTGATGAAGATCGTGGTTGGTGGTAGTGAGTGTGAGTGTGAGTGTGTGTGAGTTTGAGTGTGAGTGAGAGTGAGAGTGAGTCAGAGTGAGTGAGTGAGTGAGTGAGTGAGAGTGGGAGAGTGAGAGTGAGAGAGTGAGAGTGAGTGTGAGTGGGAGAGTGAGCGTGAGCGTGTGTGAGTGTGCGGGTGAGTGAGTGTGAGAGAGAGAGAGAGTGAGAGAGTGTCACAAAGTGCTGCGCCTGCCACGAAATCTGCACTTCGAGGTTCACCAAGTGCTGCGCCGGCCACGAAATCTGCACTTCGAGGTTCACAAAGTGCTGCGCCGGACACGA